TCTAGTATGTATACACGTATAAGCAAGTAGGTATATTTTTATAACTTATTGTTATATTCTTAAAATATATTATTATCCAGAGCACTTAAGCCCCATTGTATTTATAGTTGTATATCTTTTATCGGTTGATATATTTAGTTCACTATAAACAATGCTTTGATACCAATCTGTCACACCCCAAAACCGGAACGGCGGAAACGTTCAGGGGCGGAGGACGTCATGTTTAGTATAACAAGACATGCATCATAGTAATCAAAGTAATAAACAACCATTTCATTAGAAAGAAAGTGTTTACAAAGTATGTGTTCACAAAACATAGAGTACATAAGCAAATAACAAAACAAGACTTGAAGCTATACTGCTCCATCTTCTGAATTCCCAGCGCGAGTACCGGCCTACTAGTTTCCTGAGAATACAAGTTATTTTGAAAGAGTTGATCAGCAATTAAGCTGGTGAGTTCATAAGATTTTAGTGATGTATGTAAGTTGTAGAAAGCTTAGTAAGTTGTAGCAATTTGTAAGTTTTGTTTTAGAAAAGTATCCTAGTTCCTCCAGAAAATCCTATATTTCCTGCTTTGATGAAAGATAAGCAAAAATGACTCTACAATCCTTTCTATGAGTACTAAATGGATACAAGTTATATAAAACTCAGAGTAAACAAACAATCGATTGTGTGTATCTGCCTTAAGCCCACAACCAAACAAGGAACAGGAAATGAGGCGGATGGCACACATCCCATTGGTTGTTAGATCCTTGTTGTATATAACCCTGGTGTATTCCCTTGGTACTCACGGAGTTAACTGTAATAGTTCCTTTATATTTGATGGAAATATTCTTTAAGAAAACCCTTATTTCTTATAATAAAATAGCAACCATAGTGGTTCCTTCTATAATCACTTCGTTTATACTGGCTATGTATAATCTAATATCGAACAGATAGTTAATTGTGTGGATCTGCCCTAAGCCCACTACCAAACAAGGAACAGGGAATGAGGCGGAAGGCACACATCCAACTACCTATCGGGTAATAATTATATATACCCTTGATGTATAAACTAAGGTATTATAGAGTTAACCGCCTAAGGTCCTTTAAGTTATGCTGGTTTAATAAAATGGATTAAACCCTTTACTGATAAGTTTCTTGTTTTGTATATCAAAAGTTCTATTTGAAAAGTATGTTTTGTACTAGAATACTGTGCATTGAATTAGTGTCCTATGACCTGACCCATACCTGGTACCCCTTATGATGACTTAATGTATACTGAACGTATATATAACTAAGATCGAATGAATACTAGGTTGGGTGAATCTGCTCTAGGCCCACAACCAAACAAGGAACATGAAATGAAGCGGAAAGCACACATCCTTTTACCTGTCGGATCCTATTAATATATATCCCTTGATGTATACATTAAGGAATCATAAGGTTGGCATTATGGTCCCTTTCTACTGAATGTACTAGACCTGACTGTTCTATTTGTCGTTTGAAAAGATGTAAGTTTTCCCTATTTTATAACTATCTTTACTCGAAAATAGTTTGCATTAACTTTCAAGTGGAACTGTCACTTTATGAAAGTAATGGGAAAAATATAATTACTCAGTTGTCTTCTGAATTGACATCCTGATGTACTAATTACCTTAAAACATGTTTGTTTTATTAAGTCATAATGTGAAGGCTAGTTCCCATACTATACGCTCTCCCTGTCAAAAGATTCTGGGAACCAAACGCGACTTCAACAAACCAGTTATGCTTGTACTTTAAAAATGGATTTTTGTTAAACTATAAAGTAACATGGAGTTTTGAAAAGACTCATTTTACTACTAAGTTATGCTTGTACTTTAAAAATGGAGTTTTGTTAAACTATAAATTAACATAACAAAAAAAGAGTTTTTGAAATTTTTTGATCACTTATAAAAGACATAAGTAATCTTTTGAAAGATGTTTATAACAAACATTTCCACAATTAACATTGTGTTCAACTTGTATTCCCCCCCTTAAAAGCATTTAAAACAGTTAAAAAGATTGATTACGGCGTATGAACTCACCTGATGTGGGTGATTCAAATGAATATGCGCGTAAGGATGAGTAGCTCCACGAATGAAGTCCCGAGACTTAACGAGTCCTAAATGACATATAATGGCATATATTGACATAAATATAGTGTTTAGAAGCAACCAAATGCAAGGAAACACCTCACGGGACTAGGAAACACTTTGACCAAGTGTTGGAATCACATGTGATTCACTAAAAGGGAGTGTACGGCCAATATGATGATTGTACGGCCAGGGAGTGTACGCCGTACACTCATGGTAAAAAGTGTACAAAAACCTTTTCCAAGGGTAGAAATGCTTGTAGGACAATTTCTCTTCAAGTGTTGAAGCTAGGAATGCACTTTGAAGCCCCTTTAAGGGTGTTTTGAGAAGTGTACGGCCACACAAGTGTGTACGGCTGTACACACCTCATGTTCATGAATTCTGGGCATTTTTAAGGTGTTAATCTAATGTTCTAAACAAGATTCAAGCATTGGGAAAGCGTGCTTACGATTTGGAGGCTCAAAAGGGTTCACAATCACCAAGAACAAGTGTGTGTTCTTGGTGTTCTTGGTGAGATTTGAAGATCTAGTCAAAAGATGATTTACATGGATGAAATTAAAGAGTGTAACTAGGAGATGAAGTGTAACAACAAATCAAGGGAAGAACACTTACAACTTTTGAAGATCAAGGATGAAAATCGGATGGTAGTTTAGAGAGAACTCAAGTGTTCCTGAGGTGAAAGTGCAAGAATGAAGGAAAAATGAAGGGTAACACTCGTATGGAGGGGGTGTACGACCCAACATAGGTGTACGGCCATACACTTATGTGTATGGCTGTACACTCAGAAGTACGGCCGTACACTCCCTCAAATGGAGTGTAGGGCTTGATTGTTGGTTTAAAAGCGTACGCGACCCGATCCTATACTCGAGGCTTGAATGTACTGAGATTTGAACCTTTGAACGGACTCTAAACGAGGCTAAATGATAGCAGAAATGAGTCTGACAATCAGTTGAGTTGACTGGCTGGGCTTTACAAGGCAAGAATTTTTGGGTTGTCACATCGACTGTAATAGAAGAAGTTTAACTCAAATATGGAGTGGATTGTTTGAGTGGAGAATGGTGCTTCGATATTTGATTTGGATCGAATCATTCTTGTGGTCGAAACTTTAGCTTTGTCACGAGAACCAGAAATTAAGTATGGTTAATTGGTTCACATAGAAGGCTCTGTGAGGACGAATCATGGATTTATAGTCGATACATGGCTATTTCTAATCGAAAGTGAGCTGGGTTTGAAGTTGACATAATGTATATAAAAGAAAGTTGAATGGATGAGTAAATAGTCAAACCTTGAAGTCTCGATTAGTGAAGGTTGTTGAATAGGTTTCGACTATGGATTAGGAAGAAGAGAAATGAAAGTCTAAGGGCTGAGGTCTATGGTCGAAAGTTTGAATTTTCGAATGTGAATGGTCGAAATTTGTAGATAAAGGCTTGGGAACAAAAGTTTAAATCTTGACTTTTTATGGTTAAGATGATGGTTCGAGTCGAAATCTAAAAATCAAGCTTTAGGGTCGAAACTCATGTTGGATATCGAAAATTTGTTTGAAAGTCGAAATTTGATTTTTTTAGTCGAAAGTTTGAGGTTTTGATTGTTGTTGTGTTTTTGCATTTGGTGCCATTTTGGGGAAGAAGACTCATAATGTTTCACATTTGGACTTTGAAGTTTCAGAAAAATGGCATTTTTTACCCATAAACTAAAATTTTTGAGATTTTTTAGGGGACATCAAGAGTGTTATTTGTTCAAGACTTTTTCCAACAACATGAACAGTTTTTGTTCATTTTTTACGAGAAAATGGGTCAGGGAAGTCATGTTTCGAAAAATTGACAATATTTTTTCGATTTTTTCGTATTCGTTGCTTCATTTTTGTCTCGTATCAAGGGGGAGGATTGTAATGCCGAATCCACATTGAATACTTTCTCATTCCCATTTGGAGTTTTATAATAATATTTCGATTATAAAAAGGGGGAGAGATTGTGAAATGGGTATTCGAAATCGGGAGTGTCTTTAGGCCATGACATAGAACTGGGACTCCTTGATGATCCCAGTTCTTCATTTCCATATTAATGATGAAATTTATTTAATACATTTAACACTAAAAACGTCTCTACGAGATGATTTTAAAAGGCAGATAAATGCTAAAAGTAGAAGATTTTCACACATTCGTGTACAAAATCTCTTAAAAAAGGGTCATAACTCTAATAAAAACCATTTAACAGAGTTAAAAGATAAGCTTTTAACTTAACTTCATCCGCAACCAATTCCTGGTATCAGAGCTTTGTTATGGATTTATCCTTGAAAAATAAAGGTAGAGGAGATTTTGAAGAACAACTTTCAGATCTTTCAGATCATACATTAAGCTTCGCTGAAAATGAAGATGATTTTCAAGGAAGTCTAATGATTAAACAATAACTTCTTTCAAAAATTAAGAAATTAGATCTTAAAATAAAGAAAGAAAATATATTCAGAAACGTTCCCTCAAGATTTAACATTCTGAATACGTTAAAAAGAATAATTGAAATATTTTACTTCGTTAGTACAAAAGAAATGTCTGTCGACATAAAAGATACTACAAGATTTGTTTATCTACCACTATTAACCAAAGACCAAATAAACAGTAACCTAAAAAATATTCCCACATAAATAAGATCTAAAATTAGAATGGTCCACATCGGAGCAGTAAAAATTCTAATCAAATCTCAATTTCAAGAAGGAATTAATTCTCCAATAAAAATGGCCTTGATTGATGATAGAATCAATCATCGAAAATATTGTATTCTTGGTGCATCCAAAAGAAATCTAGCTTACCAAAAATTCATGTTTTCAGTTTACCCTAAATCTGCCTTAGATCTAAAATCAGCAAACCTAAATAAGGTTTTATCTTTTATTCATCACTTTGAAAGAAGTGATTTCATGAATCCAGGAGATAAACCCTTCACAATTACCTACCTCATAGGATATGCATTGACAAATAGTCATCATAGCATAGACTATAAAAAAGAAGAATACATAGAACTTGAAGATGTATTATCAGAAATAGGACATGTCAAAGATAAACAATTTTGTGACATAGATCCTCAAGATAGCTCTTGGGCTTTAAACATAGCCAGAAACAAAAAAGCTTTAGGAGAAAGGCTACAACCTAGAATCTCAATAGATTCTCTTCATATAGGTGAAATGTCCAAATCTATGGAACCTACTCCAAGAGATATACTCAAAAGCATAAGAAGTATGTCTTCTAGAGTTGATAATTTAAATCAAACGATCAACCAACTAACCGAAGTAATAAATGAGTAATATAGACCTTCCTCATATTTACAAAAAGGGTCAATCATCGAGACTTAAAAATCTTGATGATCCTACTCAGAAAAAAGAATATGGTTTTTCTTCTTCAAGAAAACTAGGCGTTCAAACCCTAGCTAACCTTTGTAACAATATAAATCAAATTGTCGCAAGATGCTGGTTAATCACACTCAAAATAAATCACTATTTTGTAATTCAAAAAGATATTTCTAAAGATATATCAAAATATAATAAACCTTTCAATCAATTTAAGAAAGATTTAAGTCTTGCCCTTCAAAATGGAGGAGAAATTGATAACAATTAGTTTGAATTTTTTTTTACTCGGTTAGAAAAAATAAACAACATAATAGAACATAACTCAAAACTACTAGAAACTTTTAATAAAATTTCTAAAAACTTTGATGACCTATTAAAAAAAGTTGCCCATTAAGTTGTTCTTACAGACCAAATGAAAGATTTTAATCTTGGATTAAAGGAAGTGCAAAATCAAATAAAACAACTTATGGGATGCCATCTATGGTTGACATTAAAGAATCACTTAATCAATAAAATGAAAAAGTTGAAAAACTATCTGAAAAGATTGATCAAATGATTAACCAAAGCTTAGTAACTACAAACCAATTAGAAGCCATCGCTGCTAAAATTATTAATGAAACAAAAAAAGTACTTCAAAAATGTTCTTGCAACAAAGAAATTATTGAAATAATTAACAAAACTACTCCAGTTTTAGATCCTAAAACTGAAGATAAAAAGCCATTCACTGGTAAGTACTCATACCCTAATTATAATGTAGGAAATGAAGAACTAGGATCATCAAGGAATCCCAGTTCTATGTTATGGCCTAAAGACTACTTTAAGTCAACAGGATAGACTATTTATCTAAAGTAGAAAAATTATTCTGGGATAACTATGAAGATGAAGAATTAATAATCAATGGATCAAATGTCTCGATTGTTGGTCAAGCTCTTAGGTTACTAGATCTTGCTGAATCTAAAGGAAAGGATATAGTAAACTTAGAAATCTCTGCATCTGAGGAACTTAAACAACTTTTCCACTTTGATGAAACGATTAACGTCATAGAAGAAACATCTGCCAAAGAAACCTCTGTATATATTTCAGAAGAAGAAGTAGAATATCTTTCTTCTGATATAGAGCCTAACTTCGGGATGAATAAGACCGAATCACATTTAGATCATCCTGGAGAATCTTTTTTTGAAGGTGAATGAAGAAAAAGACCTTAAACTGAACAAGGTCATAGAACTGGCTCTATACCAGATCTTCCTACTGGAAATCCAAACCAGTTCGGAGCAAACGTTCTCAATATTGATAATATTGTAACAAATAGAAAAGAAGTTATCGACAGATGGACTTCGGAAATAAGTCTAATCATTCAAACTAACAAAGAAAAATATCCGACAAAAGAATCTATTCTTTTATTGTTTGACCATAGAACATTAGGAATAGTTCAAAAATTTATCAAAAATACTAACTGAATTAGTCATAATCCAGACATACGAATATCACCATATGAGACAAAGCCAATGAACAATTGATGTCATCTACTTGATGTTCCTTGGTATAGATCTTATATAAGACAAAGCCAATGAACAAAAAAGAGAGATAAAAAAAGCCAAATCCAGACATATGAATATCACCATATGTAATATTTTCTTTCTAGGTCATTACACCTGTGACTATGAAACAAATCCTTAGAAAATAAATGATTCAACCCTATATCCCGAGTTGATCAAACAATATCTATTGAAAATTCCTATTGTAGGACAACAATCTCATAACAGATTTCTAGCCGAATCTACAAATGCCACAATTTAGAGACTTGATTTTGCTAAGAGAATTATTATTGATGAAATTCAAAAAATTTGTATTCTATCAAACACACAAAAAAGACTAAAACGTTTTAACAAAAATTGTTGTAATCATTTAACAAAAGAAAAACCCTTAGTGTATGGATGCAAAATTACCCATGAAACAATAAATTCTTCAAGGAAATCTTTTAATAAATAGTTAAAAAAGAACAACAAAAGATTTTCAAAACAGAAAAATACTAAACGGTTTAAACCAGGAAAAAATTTCCAAAAATTAAAAGATTTTCAAAACACAAAAGACAAAAGTAAATTTTGTCCAAAAAATAAAAAGAATTGCAGATGTTGGGTTTGCAGCGAAGGACACTATGCCAATGAGGGTCCTAATAGGAAAGATTACCCACAAAAGGTTAAACTCCTTAAAATAGCATCGTCTATGGACCTTAGGCCTATAGAAGAACAATTTCAAGATGAAAAAATCGTCTACACACTGATTGAAGAACCTCTTGATGAATCAACATCTTCTACATCTACAGAATTAGGTACTGATTCAGACTGATTCAAAGGTCATGAACTCAAAAAATGTGATACTAACTATCACAAATCCTAATTCAATCTATGTTAAATGTACATTTGGATTCGCCGGATATAAACAAATTGATTTAAATTGTTATATTGATACAGGAGCCAGTCTTTGTATCGCAAGTAAATATGTTATTCCAAAAGAACATTGGATTAACACTCCAAAACCTATAAAGGTTTCTACAGCAAACGGAACTGTAATTATCAACAAAAAAATGTGTTGATTTACAGATAAGACTTGTCAGAGAAATATTCCATATCCCCTCTGTATACCAACAAGAATGTGGAATAGATTTCATCCTAGGAAATAACTTATGTCTTTTGCATAGACCATTTATACAAAATCTCATAATTGTTACTTTACACAACAATGGTGTTCAAATCGTTGTTGATAAAATCTCAAACGCTTATAGAAATGGAAAACCTGGATTTTTAGAATCAATGAAAAATAATTCAAAAATTAAAAAACCAGAACCTGTCAACATCTCTCAAAGCAAAATTGAAGACACCTTACCTTTTAAAATGGGGGAGAATGAGGAAGAATTCAAATTTTTACTTAACCAATTTTTTTTTCAAAAATTGAATGTTTACTTGAAAAAGTTTGCTCAGAAAATCCTATAGACCCATTAAAGTCTAAACAATGGATGAAAACAAACATAAAATTAATCGACCCGACCACTATCATCACAATTAAACCTATGAAATATAGTCCTCAAGATGTCAAAGAATTTAGTAAACAAATAACAAAAACTACGTGAATTAAAGGTCATCATTCCAAGTAAATCTCCTTACAGATCTCCCGCTTTCCTTGTCGAAAATGATGCAGAAATAAGAAGAGCAAAGAAAAGAATGGTAGTTAACTACAAAGATATTAACAAAGCAACTAAAGATGACAACCATAATCTCCGTAATAAAGATGGACTTCTCACCATTATTAGAGGAAAAACAATATTCAGTTCTTTCGACTGTAAATCTGGCTTTTGGCAAGTTTACTTGACACTGAATCACAACTCTTAACAGCTTTCACATGTCCCCAAGGACATTACCAATGGATTGTTGCACCTTTTGGTCTAAAACAAGCTCCATCCATATTTCAAAGACACATGCAAAATGCATTCAGATCTTTTGAAAAATTTTGTTGTGTTTATACAGATGATATCCTCATATTCAACAACAATGAAAATGAATATTTGTTACATTTAGCAGTTGTTCTTAAAAAATGTGATCTTCTTGGAATCATTCTTTCCAAAAAGAAAGCACAACTTTTTAAAAGTAAAATAAATTTTCTTGGTTTAGAAATAGAACAAGGAAGTCATCGTCTTCAAAATCATATTTTAGAAAATATTCATAAGTTTCCTAATAAAATTGAAGATAAAAAACAGTTACAAAGATTTTTAGGAATCTTAACATATGCTTCAGACTACATTCCTAAACTCGCAAAAATAAGAAGCCCCTTACAATTCAAACTTAAGAAAGATGTGTTTTGGTCATGGTCTGAAGATGATTCTAGCTATATGGCAAAGATAAAAAAGAACCTAAAAGAATTTCCACCTCTATATCATCCTAATGTAGATGATAAATCAATTATTGAAACTGACGCTTCAGACAATTATTGGGGAGGAATCCTTAAAGCAATAAATTCTGAGGATCAATCCAAAGAATTAATTTGCAGATACACGTCAGGAACTTTGAAGGATGCTGAAAGAAATTACCATTCTAATGAAAAAGAATATCTTGCCGTTAAAAGGGTAATTGAAAAGTTTTCAATCTATTTAACACCTGTAATATTACAGTAAGAACAGATAACAAAAACATTGCTTATTCTTTAAGAAATAACATTTCTGGAGATAACAAACAAGGTCGATTAGTTCGATGGCAAATGTGGTTTTCCTGATATACCTTCGAAGTAGAGCACATTAAAGGAGAAAAGAATATCTTTGCAGACTTCTTAACTCGAGAATTCCAACAGAAAAACTAATCAGGTTTGATATTCTTTTCATGCAGGAATCAAACCCATTCCGCATTACACTTTGGTGGTCTAACGACCCAAGAGGTTTTAACCTCGGTATATAATTTAGACTACAGGTACATAGCGTTTCTGAAATGGAGAAAGAACAAGAGCTTATGCTAAAACAAGCTTTTCTTGAGCAAGAGTTGGAATTTATTAGAAACGAATTAAAAACTGTATGACTATTTATGTCTGAGCATAAAAAGCAACTTTCTTCTCCTTCTCTCCTATGATTCAAGAAGAAAATGTAAGTGTTCAAAAGAACATCGAACAACAAGAGGTCAATGTTTGACCTCCTTTAAAAAGAAAAGAAACGTCTAGTCTTGAGCAAACAGCTCTAGGTAAAGACTCAACAAATCCGTTGAAGGTTGTTGATTTACCAAAAATCAAGACAAGAGGAAAAACTCCAATAACGTTGTTTACACCCTTAGACTTTAATCTAAGACCCAATGAGGGAATTCAAATCCCAAAAACTGAAGGTTCATCTTCAGGATCAGGATCATCGATAAGGGAATTCAAATCCCAGAGAAACTGTTACAAATTCCTAATAAAAATTCAAAACCATATTGCGTTGTATTCAATGGACCCAACGCTGGTATATTTGAAGACTAGAATATCACCAAAAAGGAAACATAAGGAATTTAAAATATTAAACACAAAAAGTTTAATAACTTTCTTGAAGCCAAGATAGCTGCAGATCAATACACAATATCTAAAAGGTGCTCGGAACTACAACTTATTACTGCAGCAGAGACCTTAAGGCCTAACACATTCAAGTTAGCCTTAAATTCTATCAAAAGTTCCAAAACCATTCTTGGAAGCCTTCCAAGAAGAACTCCCAAAAATACTGAGGAAGTCACACCTGACCTCCCTGTAGAAATCAAGATAAAAGACTTTGAGTATTGTTACAGGTATGCTCGAAGTGCAACAGAAGAAATTTTGTAGGAGAAAAATTCTCCACTATTGATGGGAAGAATTTAAGCCACTACAAAAATGCTACAAAAATGCCAACTCTTTACAAGTGTATGAAGCATTTCAACTAGGATTGGTAAAAACCATCTATCCTAGTCAAAACCTGCAAGAAATAAGGCTTTTCTCTAAAAGCTTTACAAAAGCAATAAAAACTTTCAGAACAAGATGCTGCAAAAAGGATCAAGACATTTTTCTAAAATTCAACAGTAGCATCCCATACAGGAATGATAAGGATGAAATAAAATATCATCCTCATCATTTAGTACAGATGGGCATCTGCAAGCAAGAAACCTATCTGCCCAGCAAAGCCATGGAAGAAAAGCTTGAAAGAGACGATATCCTCCAGCTAGCAAAATCTTGAATAGAAATCTTCATCAATAAGGTTTTCAGTTTTTCAGCGGATGACAACGTCTTCGTCAATGGATATGATGCCAATGAGAAGACCTTAATCTACAACAAATACAACAAAGAGATTTCTCCGGCCGATTAACAACTATGCTTAGCCTTCCAAAACTCCCTGCTAAAGCCAGACTTAATCGGCAAACACGTGGCAGACATCTGTAAGACGATCTACAAAAGCACTAACAGATACAATTGTCAATGCTTAACCATCAAGGTGGCCTCCACTACCGAAAATAATAATGGCAAAGCTATTATAAAAGAAGATTCCTCGACAACCTCCACATAAGAGAGGACCCTCAAAGATAAGCCACTACATAATAATGTAGTTAGTGGATGATTTGGTCAGCAGGGACGTAAAATACTTGTATCAGATCCTCTCTATGATTCTATAAATAGAGAGTTATGCTTCCATTTGTAGGCTGAGTGAAAATACGAGAGC